TTTTTTTTGGAAAAACAATTTATTTTTTGACAGAGTCCAAGGTGACAAAATGTGAGTGTTGTTGTTTGGTTTGGTTTGTGTCTCCTAAAGAAAATGTGTTAATAACTAACCAGAGGTACTTTTTTTTACTTGTATTGATCTGTATGAGGTGTGTATTTTATTTTAGCTTATAAATATTTTAATTGGAATCAAAATGCAGAGCAGATCTTGCTGGGTAATTACAAGATTTTCATTGATAATATTTTGCTTTTAGTAATCGTTAATAATATTAATATTACTATATAATTACAAGAAGATGTCAAGGTGGCATGACTGACTGTTGAAAAAGAAACATTTTGAATATGCAATGTTTGATTATCAGAAATTGGCAGGTGTTGAAGCACGCACGCTAACTTGAACACTTACAGTCATTCTCTCATCTTCCTTGTGTACATAAGGCTAACCTGACTTGATCCCCTGATGATACAATGGTGCTACCAAATTCCAGGGGGGAGGTAGCAATGCCCTGGAATTCACTGAGACTGCATCAATCGTCAATGATGCTTTTCACTAATCTTCCCAGACCAGAGAAGGCCACTGACATGCTGGCTGAAAAGTTGCTTGCAATGATCCTACTCTAGGGTAAGGATGGCTCTGTGTCCAAGTTGCAACTCTGCTGATGAATTGTAGTTCCATGTAAATATCTAGATCGATCTAAGCAAAGAGAATCTGCAGCTTGTTTCAAGTACCAGGAGGTTACCATTCAGAGCAGGGTTTGTGGCCCTGAAATTGCATTTGGAGTCTGATGTTAAGAGGAAAGTTGTAAAATAGTGTTTGTTTTGTATAATCACTTTCATAAATTCTCTGTTTCTCTGATACTAACCAATTTATAATTTTGGTTAGGGGACTGGATTGGGTTTTTGCCCAATTAGTCCTCTGTTGTATTGATTAAAATTATTGCATGACTATATATATCTTTGTCAGCAATATGACCAACAAGAAAAAAGTCATAAAATGGTATGTTTTGTACAAGTTAATCATTTTCCCAAATTTTCTGCTTTTCTTTAATTTTTGTTTGACCAACTGAATTTATTTTTCGAATGGGGGTAGGGTTGTTGGTGAGTGGGCATGCCACTGACAAGACAGGTGATGCCTTTGAGATATACCAGCAAAACTCATAGAAAGGGATCTTTTGTCCAGATTTAGGGTCACATGGATGTTAAGCACAGAAAATGTACACTATCAATGTATATTTTTTTCAACAAAATAAACATTTAATTCGTGTTTCACCAATCATGTGTAGAAAACTAATAATGATCTGCAGAGATAATGATCATAGTAAAATTGACAAAAAGTTGTTTAATTGACAAACATTACACTACATCCAAGTTGCCAAAAAAAGATTTTATATGGATAATTGTTATGTCATACAATAGATATAAACTTGAATATTTTATAAATATAAAAAAAATTTGTTATAGCTTATTAATTTTTTTGACTTTTATATTGGGCATTGCCAGATTCAAGGTATTTTTTACATAATAAACAAACATTAAAAATATATAAATTTTAATTCGCAGATTGTTTATCAACCAGGGGATTTTAATAGAAAATGTGGGGCACGTTTACTAATTAAAAAAAATAATCGACCATGTTTGTAAAATGGTAATACAATGTATAAAATTTATATTTCACTAAATTTGGTTTATAACTATAGAAAAAATGTCAAAAAACATGAAAATAAA